TTTAATCTCATTTACCTTCTCCCCACATTTTTGCATTTTAATTCTACCCTGTTTTTGTAAGCGCCATTAGAAATTGTGATTGTCATTTTAAATAAACAATGTTCATTTTTCATTAACAGTTTCTAATTAATAGACTAGTTTCGTTTGTTCTGTTTTATACTCTAATAATTTCTTCTGATATTTCTTCCACTTAATAATTTTCTTTTCTGTTGTCTTCAATCTGCAAGCAAATCCACCCACTTAATTTTTAATTTTGTTATTTCGTTTTTTATTTTTGGAAGTTCTGTCTAGTTCTTTATCCAGTCAGTAATGACACTTCATATTTTCCTGTTTCCTCCAGTTGCTTTTAAGTTTGTATTATAATATGTGCCAGATAATTCCAAAATCTCAAGTATGTACTTGCTCATCTGTCCTTACTAAGAGTCATTTCTGCTGGCTCTAGTTCATGGTGTCACATTTTCTTTTGTTCTTTGGTATTTTGATTATGTGCAGCTTGATACCTTTAAAAAGATTTTGCATGTGTGGTGGGTGGGGGCAGAGGGTGGCAGGCTTCCCAAGGCCTGGGCTAAATGTATCTTCTTCGGAGAGGATTTGCAATAGCTTCTGCCTGGCCCCTGGGGGCATTTCCCTTCTAAACCTCCTGAAGATCAAGACCACTGCTGGAGACCCAATGAGACCCTAGGCTGTAAATCTTCAGGAAGGCTGTCCTGGGTCACAGCTTCTCAGAATCCGGTGGTTGTTCCCTTTTCTTTATTTTTCCTGCTTTGTTCAGCACCAAGGCTGTCTTCTCTGTCGGGGGTAGATTTGGTTCCACTTCACTATTATGCTAAGGGACAACCCGTGCACCCCAAATTGATCTGAGGAGAGTTTCTTACTTGACTCTCCATACTGGTTGGACCCAGGGCCTTGACTCTTATCCCTCTTGCCCCAAGAAATGGCCAAAATGGAAGGTCAAATTGTTTAGATGGCAAATCCCTTCAGGGCAAAGACAGTTTGAGTTGCTTTGACTTCTGCTTACCTTTCTGGGTTTCAGAATTAAATCTAAAATTTAACCTGACAGGCCCTCACTGTCTTGTCAGTTCGTCAATACTTTAAAAAGGTTTTTTTTTCTCACTGTATTTTCCCTTAAATTTTTTCATTCAGAAGCTTGGTCCATATAACTTGGTTGCTATAACTAAAGATAGAAGTCAGGGTATTACTTCTGTATTTATTCAACCAAACTTGATTCAGTTTTTCTTGTGAGGGACATAATTAGAACTACTTTCCCTAGTCATGCCCTGTCATTTTGGCGGTTGTTCTTTACCTCACTAAATCACAGAAAATAGTTCAGTGACTACAGTTTAGTGGGCTCCTGCCCTGGTCACATGTGAAAAGATGGTTTAATCTCAGTGAGCAATTTTGAAATGCATCACATGTTGGTTTTCTTTAGGGGAGGGTTCCTATAAAAAGCTAATCCTCTCTGGTCTGTAAACTCTTTCCTGACTTCAGGATACCATCCTCTTCGTGAATTTTAAAAATTCCCTTTTCTCTTTCTGGGAGAATCTTGTACCACTTAGAAAAATCGATGGGTATCCAAGGGGCTAACTCTACTTCATATCACCATTGTTTGATGGTTAGGCCAACGAGCAATGGTAAAGGGCAAGAGAAAGGCCTGAGAAACCACCAAGGGGAGTGTTCTGACCCAGTAGACGCAGGACCAAGGCTGGATCCAGAGAGCGGATGGAAATCCACCTACCCGCCCCTCGATCCTCACCAGGAGGGGTTTAGCATCTTGTTCCTCTTCATAGATTGCTGGTACCTGATGGCAAACTTGGCACCATTTACCTGTGTAAAAGTAAGATCCTAGGATGAGAGAAACGTTGATGAAATGATATTGCACTGGGGTAATGACTGTGGCAAAGCAAGAACCCGAGAGTGCTTGATGGTCCAGGATCCTTAATACTTTCTTCTTTCCTTAGCAAGTTTCCCAGCAGCAAGGAGAAACAGTTAACAGTCACACCAAAGAGGGGCAGAAGGAGAGCAGAAAGTGGCAAATGCCTTCCAATACGATCTGGATCCACGAGAAGCCTGGGAGAATGGGGGCCTGAGCCATTAGCGGGGTGGACGTGTAGCTCACGCTGTGTCCCGCTCAGAAGAAAATTATCGAACAGAAAAATGTGATAGCACAGCCAAATCTACAAGAAACCAGCTATGGAAAATGTGAAAACTCTCATGGTTCTATGTGACAAGATGCACTCAAATGATAAACACCTGCTTTGAACCAAAATTACATTCCATCTTTGATTTTCGATGCTTCCAGAAATTCATAGATATTATTTAATAGGTACTTAAAAATCCAACATGTTAACACACATTTATTTAATAAATTCCTTTGCTATTGCTGAACATACTGGTTCAGATTTCCAGATTGAGGGTGGGGAGGAGGCGTAAGTCATCAAAGGTAGGAGAACAGTGATAGCCCCTATAAGCAACTGTCACGTCTGGGACAGAGAGTGAAAATGAGAAGATACTTGACATGTTCCACCTTCTGGGTAATGACTGATCCAACAGACGCAAGAGCAGCATAAGCATTATGCCTGGTTTGAGATAAGATGTCAGAAGTCTTCTCATGTCTGTACTAAATTAAAAGAACAAAGAGAAGTAATCTAAACTGTCAGGCTGACTGCTTGTATTCTTAGTAGCATCATACCTTGAAACTTTCCCATCCAAAAGCTGACAACCCTCAAGCACCTGTGTACGGACAACTGTGAGAACAACTATGCCAGCTTCCTCACCAGGGACAGGGAGCCTCGGGGAGAAGAACTTTTGCCTACATCATGGTCTTCACTGGGGCACCAGATTTCCTGGGCCAGGTGGCACAGGAGTGACCAAGGAAACTCAGAATGAGTGGCAAAGCTTTGTTTCTCCTCTTTCATTCTCTATCTGCATATCCCCAAAATAATTTTCCTACCAGAGTCTTTTAAACCTTTGAAATATCAAGAAGTTGAGAACATTAGCTTTATCAGGTGACCTGTGACCACACAGTGAACTCAAGTGCATTTGTCTGTCAAATCCCTCCTCCCAAACTCTCCTATTCTATCACTACCTTCACTCCCTAATACCCTCATCAATGTCCCATCTGCGCTTCACCCCAGTCTCTGTTCCTTACTCCCATCCTCAACGGTTTGCAGCTGCCTGAAACTACCAAGAAGTTGATGAAGGACTAGGCTCTCGGCTAGTGTGTTTTAGCAGAAACTAGTGCTTGGTACTTTTGCATTTATACCAAAAAAAAAAAAAAAAAAGCAAAAAACCTTTTGGGATATCAAATAAATGGAGATCTACAAAGAGCAGGATTGGATAGATGCATATCATTTTAGGAAGCAGACAATTGCCTAATCACCAATTCAAGGCAACGTAGGGTCATATTCAGGCTCTTGGAGGATCTCAGTTAGGGGAAGGGAACACCATTTCTGGCTAACGCCAAAGCCCCCAAAGCCCCTTCCTCACTCAAAGAGTCCAGGACTTTCTCCTGGTGAACGTGGTCATTCTATCAACAGCCTAAGAATGTGGTTCTTGCAAAACCCTCAGCACACAGCCCTTTCTGTGTGAGGGGAAGGATATGACGAAAGCTCTTATCTTGAGAATCAATAGAACTAGGAGGAAGTTGGTGGTCACTGAGCCTGCCCCTTCTTCCTTCACCTCTACAGCTGAGAAGCCTGGAAGGAGAAAGCACACACCTCTTCAGACCAGATCAGCCTTTCAGAGAAGATGCTGCTGTTTCTGTTGTTATTGGCCAATCTCCTACCCTCCAGGGCTGAAGGAGGTAAGTGAACATGTCGATCCTCAGAGGCCTGGCTTATTCTAACACTGACACTTACATAACGTCTCAGTGAGGCGATCATTATGATCCTTGCTTGCCTCAGGCCACTCCCAGAAATTCACTGAACCCTAGATCTGTCGCTGGATATGCAGTATGGAGAAATAACAGAAAAGAAAGAGAGAACCCAAAGAGACCTGATGGGTCCTCTCTCTTCCATGGGTCACACTCTTGTCACCTGGAAAGTGATTTAATATTAGAATGGCAAAGGATTCTGGTGGAGGGGAAAGTTGAAAATGGGGGATATAACCTCCCATTCTCCAAAGCTAAGAGTGGTTATCCATCCCAGGAGCTATCGTCTAAACCAAGAACAAAACAGCTATCTTATACTCTTTTCCTAGATGTCACCTTCTCCCTGTCCCCACTATTGAGCCACTCAGCTTCACCAGGGGGTGGAGTACTGGGTAGATACCCAGTACTTAACTGAGCCATCAGTGTTCCCCCTACTGCTCCCATGGGCCTAGTGGAGATGGGCTCCCACGCAGGCCCCCTCCTGCCCATTTCCTCATCTCACTCTGATTTCCCAGCCTTTGTATCTCCCTCTTGGTCCTGAGGGCTCATGCCTCAGAAAGTTAAATCTGTGCTGGAAGTCAGGTTGCATTAAGACTGCTCCTCCCTAGCTGCTGACCAAAGCAGATATAAGGACTATTCATTCCTGTACCTAACAAGCATTTGTGGGGTATGTACGATGTGCCTCACCCAGGATGGGGGAGAGAGAAGCCAGAGTGTTCTGATCCATGAGCTCAAATGTTCAGGACCCAGACCAGACCCATCCTGGAAACAAGCAATACACCAGGGCATGAGAAAGTCAGCGACAAAGAAGCAACTTGGATAGGTCAGAGAGAGTAATTTCCAGGTCTTCTAGCACAGTCTCCTTAACTTGTATATGAAGTGTGTTGGCTCCAGAACAAGGGCTGAGCTCCTCAACTCCACAGGAGGAAACTGAGAACAAAGCCAGGAGACAAGTCATGCTGCAAGCCCTCCATGCTGCCCATTGAAGTCTGCAGCCCCCTATCATTGTGTTGCGGCCCTGAAGACACTACAACCACCTCAGTTTCTGCACATCCCATAGGTTTAGGCCACCCGGCAGTGCCGGTCCCCTCTTTTGCTGAACACAGAGATCTAGGGAAATTTTCTCTTTCAGGGGAGATCAGATGGGGCAAAGAAGCCAGACCACATTCCCGGCCCTACATGGCATTTCTACGTTTCTACAATGACAAAGAAGTCAAGGTGAGATGTGGAGGGTTCCTGGTACGAGACAACTTCGTGCTGACAGCAGCTCACTGTAATGGAAGGTAAGCAGCACAAATGAGTCCTTGTCTTCCTGGGAACCTCTTGTAGCATCCCAGGACCCAGAACTCAGAAAGGTCCCTGAGCACACAGAGCCAATGACTAACCAGAGAAGCCATCTGATCTGCTCAGGCCTGGATAAAGTGAGTGAGGGATACAGGAATAGAGCATGTGGATGGAGAATTGGGTGGCAGGCAGGCTGCTGAAGAACCAGGCTGGGTCATTGCTGCACAGCAAAGAAAGGCCACGCTGTCCACCTTTCCCTTCCTCCCTATCTGACTCAGCTGCAGGTGTGCCCTAGGCTGGAACTTCAACCTGTCATTCTGAGACTGAGTTGTAGCTCCTGTGGCTGACAAAATACCCCTTTCATTACAGAAATATAAGTGTCACCCTGGGTGCTCATAATATCGGAAAAATGGAAAGCAGCCAGCAGATCATTCCTGTACTCAAAGCCTTCCCTCACAAGGATTATAATAATAATTCCAAGTTCAACGACATCATGCTACTGAAGGTACCATCTTGCTGACTTTCAGGTGCACACACACAGGTTACAAGAGAGCACACAGCTCATTCAGGGTCTCAGTCCCCTCCTCTCCTCCAACCTGTCTGCTCTGCCTGGGTGAATGTAATAGAAGGGGGCTTGGGAGATGCTAGGCGGGGAGTACAGGAAACCTCACCCCTGTCTCTGAGCCCAGCTGGAGGGAGGGACCTGAACTGCCATCTCTCACCTTTCTGACCAGCTGCGAAAAAAGGCTCAACTCAACAGGGCTGTGAAGACCATCGCCCTGCCACGGAGGCAGGACTGGGTGAGGCCGGGGCAGGTGTGCAGCGTGGCAGGCTGGGGAAAACGGGCAAGTGGTAAAATGCCAAACAGACTCCGGGAGGTGGATCTGGAAGTTCAGGATGGCCAGAAGTGCGAGAACCTCTTCAAAAACTACAACAACTCCATCCAGCTGTGTGTGGGGAATCCTAAGGACAAGAAGGCCACAGGAAGCGTAAGGAGACAAGCATCTTCCAGCCTTGCCCCAGGGACACAGTGATGCTGGGCTGACATGGCCAGGCCTTCTCCCACCCCACTGTCAGTGGTAGACTAGGGTCCACTCATGGGTAGAGGCATGCTGTTCCCAGCATGCGGGGCCCAGGCATCTCCCTCCAGCCAATCTCTTGGCCATTGTCCATTGGACAAGAAGATGAGGGCCTGGGACTGGGTTGAGGTTGAGAGAGGACATAGCCAGGACACAGGATTATGGTACAGGTAGATCACAGAGGATCCACCAACCCCCCTGACACTCAGAGCTGTGGTGAATAGTGACTACTCAGCACTACCCCTCTGAACAGCTGGGCCCTAAGAGGGGGGCTGGAGAGCACCAGGGAGAAGATCACAAGGGGGAGCCATAGGGGTCTGGCTGAGAGTTCGCCCTTCTCTGTCCACAGGGGGACTCCGGAGGCCCCTTCGTGTGTAGCAACGTGGTCCAGGGCATTGTTTCCATTGCAAAAGCGAATGGGAAACCTCCACGTGTCTTCACCAGGATCTCAAGCTTTCTGCCCTGGATAAAAAGCACAATGAGATACTTCAGACTACAGGGACCAGACTGAGTTGCCCCCTAGATTGATCCATCCATCTTCTCTGGGGCAGAACTGCACTAGGCAGAGTGAGGTGCAGGGGGGGCTGCCAAGAACTTAATAAACTTCTATCTCTAGAATAGAAATCACTGATTCCTCATTTATTCACCAAAACGTCCTACAGCCTATATCTTATTGAGTAAATTTTTCTTCTATTTTTCAACAATCTCTAAATCTTCTATATAAGAATGGATACAGAAAACAAAATTCATTTTTAAAACATCCGCCTCAGAAAGGCTAGACTGGAAATAAGTGATTTGCTGAATGTTTGCCATTGCTGAGTGTGCTTCGATTATGGGAAAATGTATGGTGGGTAGAAAAGCAATATATATTCATCATAGAAAGATAGTTAAGGGCAGAACATACCAATCAGAATATTAAAATTCCCGAGAATTCCACCACCCAGAGATCATCATCATTAATGCTTAAACACGTTGCCTTCCCTTCTTTTTCTGTCTACTCATATGATGCTGTTGCTTTAACAGAATTCGGATTGGTCTGTTTAGAACTCATGTTGTTTTCATTTCCACTACTCTTTCATCTGTCGTCATGCTGGTGAGAGTGTTGGGATAATCTGTTTGCAAATGTTTGTGATTGTTAAGCCCAGGGACATCAGAGCCGTGGTTCACTGGACACTGGACAGAGAATACTTAGTGGATAGTAATTATTAGGATGATCAGCATCAATTTCCCCATCACCTGGCAACAGTAACCAGCATTTCTAGAGGGGAACCCCCTCTACCAAAAACAGGAACTATGATTTGGGTGGAACAGTCCCCTCCTCAGCTGCAGCAGTGCTAAATGACTCGAGTATAAACCAATCAGGACACTCAATTCTGATGGACACAATGATGGTTTGTTTTTGTCCAACGAATTTAAAGTCCAGGACTTTTGTTCAAAATGGTGGGATAAGAGAAGCTCTCTTTGTCACAGATTATTTACATTTAAAGAGGGGATTCTAAATATTCCAAAGTACGAGGCTGGAGTTGTGGTCACAGAGGAAGGGGGGTTAACACTAGGGGTGTTCGGGTGTGTCCAGTTCTACATGCCCCTAAGGCAGGGCCAGCCTTGTCTTGACATGAGTACAGCCATGTTTTGCCGCCCCATTGACCTACAGCCACCAGCACAAAAAGAAATATAAAAGCTGCTTTCTGCGTGGTGGGAACTGGCCCTTCTCCCATGGAGATAGTTTCAATGTGTAAAAATTTCACTGCCTTTCAGGAGCCTCAGCCTGGGGCAGACTGGCCATCTGCGCCAGGTTGGGACGATAAGCAAGGTAAACAATGCACGTACACAACTACTGGGCTGGGACGACAGCCAGGGCTGGGGGGCTCAGTGCACGCATGCCACTGATAACCATTTGTGCATGGGAACACTAGATGCTTGCTCTGAAAAAAGCTCTGTAACTGTTTACTCTGGAAATTACTGATGCTATAAAAAACTGCTGGAGACTGAGACTTGGTGAGAGTTCCACCTGTGGAAGAACCGCCTTGCCCAGGACGTGTGATCCTTGCCCAGCCGTGTCGATTGACAGGACTCTCCCGGCAGTGGGGCGTGAATGTTGTGAATAATTGATTTATTGTGAAGTAATTGATCTGATGTATTCTCTTTTCGGTCAACCTGGTGTTTCTCTTTCCGGTTGATTTGTGTCATTTCCCTTCAGTCGATCTGGTGTTTCCCTTTCCGATCTATCTGATGTTTTTCCCTCTTATTATATGACCTATTCGAATCTGCTGCTATCTCAGCCTATGTGGATGTTTTCCCTTTCCAGTCGAGCTGGTGTTTTTTCCCTCTTATTATTTGACCTATTCGGATCTGTTTGCGGACTATCGCCTTTACTATCCTCTATATAATAAAATATACCTTCAGTTCATTTGTTTGGAGTGGAAAGTTTCTTTTACGTCTCCGATCGAATCCCCGAACCTCTCATAACAAGCCTCTATCTCCCACCACCAAGCAGAACCCCCACCACTGCCCTTACCATCTTGTACTCTAATCACTGATTCTCAGTCTACTCCAGCTAACTGCCATCTTCTCAGGGGAGGAGCCATGTTGCACATCTCCTTGGACCTAGCTTGCTACATTATTCATGACTCCATCAGGATGGAAAAAGAGCCACGAGCTGAGCAATGGAGACGTTCTTGATTCTTCTGGATTTCAGATCCTCTGTTGGCTGCAGCACAGGCTTTGCTTTCTTGTTCTCTCTTCCTGCTTTCGCTTTGTAACTCATCAGTGGGAGTGCAAGTGTGGTGGCAGTGCTATTGTCACCTACCCCAAGCCAGAGAATGTCCACAAACCACCTTGCATGATGGCACAGGAAACCAGAGGAGCACAAGTCTAGGAGGGCTCTGAGGTCCTGAGCCACCCCTCCCTCCTTCCCCTTGGGGGCCCTGCCTCTGGAAGGAAGAAACACCAGCAGCTCTGACCTGGGCAGACCTTCAGGGAAGATGCAGCCACTCCTGTTCTTGTTGGCCTTTCCTCTGCCCCTGAGGCTGGGACAGGTGAGTGACCATCCCCATTCCAGAGGCTTCAGCTCATCTCACAAAACCCTCTGTACTCCTCACCCTTCTGCCCAGCACAGTCAGAGATTTTCCTTAATTTGTGCCCAAGAACTTTCGAGACCACAGCTCCCATCCCAAACAGAGACTAACAACTTCGAAGCTGCAACAACTCAAAAGTTAAACTAACAAGTTCGAAGTCAACAAGGATGGCCAGAAGGAAGGGTGTTCACTGAAAGGTTTAGTAGGTGTGAGCCTCTCTTATCATCTAGAAAGTGGGTGGCTCATAGAAAGGCATTTGGAAAAGGATGTGAAGCTACAAAACACAAGTAATTAAAATCCCTCACTCCAACCCAGGAAAGGGCAGCTCAGAGGAACCAGCTACAGTAGTAAGAGTTGTCCCTGGACCCAGATTAAGAACTAGTTACCTTTCTTGGTGCCCTCCACCCCCTCACTCCTGCCCAGGAGAGGAGCCCAGAGTGCAGTTGATCTCAGAAGGGGCTGGATGCCTGCACCCAGGGCTCTCCTGTGGCCTTGGTTCTGCCACACGCCTGAGCAGTCCCTTTTCAGCCCCACATCCCCCTGCCTTCCCAGACCCTCGGCTGCTCCACACGGTGCCCTCCCCCCACCCCTGTGTCCTTGAATCCCACCAGCACTATCCCCACCAAACCTCTGTCTAAAGCTGAGTGAAGGCCATTTATTCACGCAGCCAAAAATGGTTACTGACATCCTAGGATGGGTTAGATCCTAGGACATGCAGATTTTAGAAAATCCAACTCCATAGGCTCACGGACAGATTATTAGATGAAGGCAGTAATCAAGACTTTACCAGAGCCTCAGAGAGGTCGGGAGAGTCACTGAGACAGAAGGCGTCAGGGGAGCCCCATCCAGGATCCCTGGGGCTCTACTATCATGAAGAGAGATATTACCTCCTCCATACATTGTCTGAAGTAGGACGTGGAGAACAGCACTGTCCCCTTTTTCTCACAGGGGTTCTGAGTCTTGACATTCAGAAAAGGTAAATCTGCTGAACGGGGAACCTGAGAAGTCGCTCCCTCAGTGTCTACGAGTAACTGTAGACCCCACCCTCAATCACCACCTTACGAAACCTTCCCTCCTGACAACAGCTGCTCCCAGAAAGCCCATCTTCCAGTCTTTTCTTTCAGAGGACATCATCCAGGGACATGAGCCCAAGCCCCACTCCCACCTCTACATGGCATTGGTTTGGTTTCTGGTGAAGGAGAGGAAGAACAGGTGCGGCGGTGTCCTCCTGTGAAAGGACTTTGTTCTGATGGCTGCTCAGCTCTGGGTAAGGTGAGGGGCCGCAGACAACACATATCTCCAGAGTCCCCAACAGGGATCCTGTCCTCTGTCCTGGGGTGCAGCCCAGGCGAGCTCCCCTGGCTCCTGGTGACTCAAGGCCATGAGAGCTCATCAGAGGAGCCATCTGAGAGCATGACTGGGGGATGGAAAGGGAGAAATAGGACAGGTAAGTTTTGGGGACAGAGGGTCAGAGGTGAGATCTAGTGGTGCAGTTGAGAAGAGAGACCACACTGGCCAAATACAGCAGCTGTGGAGGATGAAAGCCTGCATGAGGGTCAAAATGCAAACTCACAGTGTTTCACAAAATTGCCTGAGGGCAAGAGAAAGCTCCCAGAATCCCTGCCCTCAGTGTCATTGAGAAGCACAGGGCACAGAGTCACTCAGTGCGTGGCCCTTATGTTGCCTCCATTTCCCTAGCTGCAGTCCTGCCCTGCCCAAGCTGTCACCTGTCCTTCACGGCTCCTGGGCTGGATCTCCTGTGACTCCACGCCCCCCACACGCGCGCCCCCACACTCCTACTCTGCTTTCTGTGCAGCTCAATCAACGTGACCCTGGGGGCCCACTACATCCAGGAGCAGGAGAGGACCTGGCAGGTCATCCCTGTGAGAAGAGCCATCCCCCACCCAGACTATAATCCTGACACCTTATCCAACGACATTATGTCACTAAAGGTAAGGAAACCTCACTGCTGCTCTTGTTCTCCTGGGTCCAGATTGTTTCCTCTCCCACTGAGACCTGTCACCCCGCTCCTTCCCATATTGGCCCCCTGACTATTCCCAAGTGGCTCAGGGGAGAGAGAAGACAGTGCAGCCCCATCGTGGTGTCCAGGCCCAGGAGGCCATTGGCTGAGCTGGGCGATCTTGCCTCTTCCCATCAGCTGGCGAGAAAGGCCAAGCAGACTGCAGCTGTGAGGCCCCTCAGCCTGCCCAGGGGCAAGGCCCAGGTGAGGCCCAACAGGTGTGCGGTGTGGCTGGCTGGGGGAAAGTCTCAATGGGCACTTGAGCAACCACTCTGCAGGAGGTGGATCTGACCAGGCAGTAGGATCGCAAGTGTGAGTCTCCCTTCCAATGCTATTACAGTGGGGCCACTCAGATCTGTGTAGGAGACCTGCAGAAGATGAAGACCAGCTTCAAGATAAAGTTTCCATCATCTA